AACTGGTATCGCAAATTCATTCCTAATTTCGCTCGTATAGCTGCACCGCTACATAAAGTAACCAACAAAACAAAACATCGTCGACATGAATATAGATGGGGACCTGAACAACAACAATCCTTTGAGGAATTTAAACATATACTAACAACATCTCCTTTATTTTTAGAATATCCAGATTTGTCAACTCCATTCACATTAACAACTGATGCATCAGATATTGGCATTGCTGGGATTTTAAGACAAGATACACCAGCTGGAACAAAGATCAATTATTTTAAATCTCGTGTCTTAAATGATACTGAACGTAAATATGATACATTTGAAAAAGAAGCATTAGCCATTTATTGGTGCATTACCGAACTTCGATCTTATATAGGTGACTCTAATTTTATTGTCGAAACAGATCATCGACCACTTGAAAACTTCCACCTTAAACAAATCAATAATAAACGTGTTATGAATTGGATTTTTAAATTACAAGATATATAACCCCAAATTATTGCAGTCGGGTGTTGTAAAGGTGCAAACAATACTGCTGCAGATTATATTTCACGGTATATTTCTTCATCAACATCTGGTGATACCACACCACCTGGTCCAACTAATACACTTCATTCTCATACGTGCGATAATACTGAACTTAATGCTGTTACAACGAGAGCACAAGCCAAACTTCTTGCTCAACCACGTTCATCAACATCAATAGCACCTGAATCTACTCGTTCTTCTCCATCAGCAAGTACTCAATCATATGATTTTAGTTTATCACGTATACGTACCGAACAAAACACTGATATGAATATTTAAAATATAATACAACAAATTCGAAATGAACGTCGCTATTCAACGTTTTTTATTCACGATGATATTCTCTATAAATTAGTTCGTCGAGATAATACAGTACTTAAATTTATCTATACGCCTGCGACTTTAATTCCGGATCTGTTAACTGCTTATCATGATCACCCATTAAGTGGTCATTTCGGTATTGGCCGCACTTGGTCACAATTACGAAACACATATTATTGGCCTCGTATGAAAGAAACCATCATGTCGTATATTAAATCCTGTGATAAATGTTC